ACATTTGAAACTCGTGTTGTCTATGATGGCAAAAAAAACATAGTTTCCAGATGTCAGAGTGTTTAAGAGCCTAAAAGATTTTCTATGAATGATTGGCACTATGTACTTGAAGACATCATGACGGATTAATTAGGCACGAGGTCTACTCAGCTATGTCAGCAGAAAACAGATACATAAGGTTTAGGAAACACTGGCCCCACTGCTGCTGGTGAACTTTCCACGATGTGGAGGCGGGATCAATCATCAGCTGGAGTTAATATTCCCTCCTGTTTGGTTTGGAATAGATAGTCTTGGCTTCATTTTCATTGCATGTCAAAAACAGGAAAATTTTGAATGCCTCTCTAATATCAATCATGGAAAATAACTCTTTTTACTAATACCCCTGAACTGACAGCTGAGACAACATGGCATGGTGTATCTTCTTAAATTGATTTCAAGATGTTTGCCAAAGGAACAGCGAAAACTGGTTTGTCAGTCTAAACGGCTCTGTAATTCCATTCCTGTGAGACTATGAGGACAGCAGTGGTATCGTAATGGGACGGGAAGTTGGGATATGGACCCTGTCTGGCGCCTTGAAGACTACTCTGCACCATCCCGGGACGTAAAAGATCCCAAATATGACATGACCCCTTGTCTGTGGTGACAGCGTAACATGATCATCACAAACTTCAAAACATGCTCCACAACATAACCTTAATCACAGATGGCAACCTAACTGAGGCAGGGCGGCTATGATGTTACTGAACTGCAGTTTATAGAGAAGCATAACATGATGCTTTTACAATCCATGTGGTAGAAAAATAGAAACATTACATATAGATGTATCAAACCTTTGTCTCAAGTGGACTATAAACTGAAAAACTAATTCCCTCCTTATGTCCAACCACTTTATTTGGATGGGCCACCCAAAAGTATCTAAGGTTATCTCCAACAAAATGACCTTTGTAGCTTTAGAGAAAGCTAGCAGCCCTAAACTTTAGTGACTGACACCTCATTAACCCACCATAGCCCTGCAGAGGCCAACAACCCAAAGTATCTGTATCTATGTATCGTTGGTCCTGCTTGCATGTAGGCTTGGTGCCCCCAGAATAACTGCCAGAGGTCAGGGTGTTGAGTGAGTGAACAGTAAATGAAACACAGGCCAGCAAAAACACACGAACATACACTCAGACACACTTACTCGCACACAGGTGCAGACAACAACACCCCATTAGTCCGGCCCGAGTTGTAGGCGACACCCCGGGGGATTTGTTTGTATGTGTGCCACAGCTTGAGTGCATTCATGGCTTCTAGTTCAGGGCCATGAAGGTAAGACTCCCACTGGGCTGGTCCTGGCTCTGTTTCAGCCTCCCACTATGAAGTGGAAAGTTCTAACCAACAAGCATTCAATGTTACTTACACGTCCACATTTATCAAACACTGTAAACGGTTAGTGTTAGATAACCAGTGTAATAACTGCAAAGTAGCCTCTTATGCAAATTTGGAGACTGTGATAAGTATCGTCAGCAGGGAATCGGGTGGCATAGAACTGAAAAAACAAAACACTCTGTCTGTTATAAAGGCAAACTTTAAAGAAATCTGTGATGCAGCTGATTCTGATGGAGATTGAGAACTGTCAGGCTGCACTTAGCCACAGCAGTGCTTAAAGCTTAGTGCTACCGTCAGCTTGCTAACGTGCTCACAAAAACAATGCTAACATGCTGAAGTCTAGCACAGGTAGGATAATGACCTCCTTCTTAGTTTAGAACATTAGCATGCTAGCATTTGCTAATTATCTTTTAAAGGCACTATTTTTAGGTTTTTCTCTGCCGCTGAACGTGGTTTCCTTCTCAGGAGCAGGTGGTGGTGATTTTGGCTTGACAAGAGCTTCAGCCATCTTATAACATGCCCTCTGAGCAGCGCTATGTCTTCAGGGCATCTTGGAAGCTATAGTGAGTTGCTATCGGAAAGTGACAAGATAGGCCAGGGCTAGTTCGTTAGCATGCTAACTTCAGTAGAAGAAAAGACATGATGTAGAGAAGAGTTAACATTGGTGTTGCTTGCCACAGCTGGACACAGCTCTTGGTGAGTAAAGGTATGAAGTTTGATGCAGAAATCACAACGTTTCTTCTAAACTGGTAAGTAAACAGCAGTTAATCCTAATGTTGGCTATTTAGCATTAGCATAACTTACAAATAGCTCCTTTTTACAAGTACAGGTGAGGCTGATGGGAATGTCATCCCCCCCCCTCTTATTCCCAGATAAGAGAACATACTGCCAAAACATGATTCAAAGCAAATGTGGGTTGGCACCAGTGTTACAGTAACCATGTACAGTACTGTAAGAGTGTATAGTAGAACTGCTATCTCTTACAAATACTGATCACTCAGAGCAAACTCAGTTTTTTTTTTTAACCTGAACAACAACAACAACACTTGACAGTTCAACCACAGTGTGACAGTGGGGCTTGCAAGATGTGTGTGTTCATCCATGTATGTCATTGTTAGTATGGACTGAGAGCAATGTGTAATGTAATCAGAGCATCAGTCCCATGTGTTGGACCATATATTTACTTAGATATCATTGCTGAGTTTTGAAGTGGAAACAAATCCCTGCAAAAGGTCAGTGGTGGGGGAAGACTTCAGGTCTTTCACTAGAGCAAAAGTAGTGATACTACACAGTAAAATACTCAAAAACAATCAAAAGTAAGTCCTGTATGGAATATATAAGTTATGTTAAAGTACTTATGCATCATCAATACAATGTTTGTAAAATATCCAAAATTTGAATTTACTTGCTTTTGGGTTGTTTTGTCTATCAATTTATTTATTAATAAGTTCATTTGTAAAGTAGTGCCTACAGCTGTCAAATTAATTTGCTAATTGCTAAGTACGATTTTCCCTCTGAACTGTAGTGGAATTAAAGGATAAAGTGGAATGAAATTGAAGAACTCAAGTGAAGTACAAGTACCTCAAAGTGGTATCAAGTACTTGAGTAACTATGTTACATTGCACCACTGAAATTGGTCAAAATGTATTTATTATGGTGTATTGTGTTTTATTTATTTAATACAGCATAAAAGTCACAAACGTCTTCATAAAGCTTGACATTCACCTGCATGACTGAACATGAAGATTTAGTATTTGTGTTAAAAAGCTGAAATCACTATCTGTGAGTGTCGTGCAATTTGATGCAATGCTGTATGCAGCCGCATTAAGTGGTGAGATCACTGAGGGGAAGTTGTGGGGCTCAGAGACATGTCTGAATCCATTGCAGCGCTACACTCCTGTGTGTACATGTGGACATTAGTAGTGACAGACACAGGAATCTGTCAAGTTCAACTAAGCTGCCATTTAAAAATATGTGAATGAGTGATAGTTGTTATCTTTGAAACTTTATGCTTTTCAAGTGAGTATTCATTACATATAGAGTATATATTAATGTGTGTAGCTGATTAGACCATATGTAGGCCAGTGTGTGTGTGTGTGTGTGTGTGTGCGTGTGTGTGTGTGTGTGTGTGTGTGTGTGTGTGTGTGTGTCTGCCCTTTGCAGAGGCAGTTTGTAATCAGCTGTCAAAGTGGGCTCTGTCCCCATCGCAGCAGTTGGGAGCAGAGCTTCATGCGGGGCAGTGAAAAGCTCTCAGGTCCACTCTGCACGCTGATCCATGAAGGTGGAAGACCGACATTCAGCCTGCGCTTCTACAGCATATTGATTAGCAGCATATTTGTCAGCTGTAAGCATGGTGGTGTGAGTGTGTGTGTGTGTGTGTCATTTGGTGTGTTTGGTTTGCCTATTTTCAGACTCCAGTGACTGTGTTGGGAACAGACAAGGAAAAAGGTAAGACCTGAAATGGATCAATATCTAATCATTGTTAATGGCAAGTAATATCCAAACCTGCTGCTATTTAATACTATTGCAAATGTTGTTAGGAACAAACTCTAATAGCAGGATAACCAATTTTTTTTAACATTTATGTACAAGTTACCACTGAATTTACTGTACTAAATATACCATTAAATACCATAAAAAATACTACATCTACAATGCACATTGGTGTTATTATTATTATTCAAGAATTTAAGGATTCAAGGTTTTATTTGTCATATAAACCAGCAACATAATTTAAAATAATTAATTAAAAAAAAAAAAAAAAAGAATTTGACACAAGAAATATAAAGGACACAAATTTTAGATATGTAAAAATGTAAAATGTATATATGTCAACACTGCAGACAAACTAAACAATGAGTTAAAATAGAGGACAGAGGACAATGAGCTAGACAATATTCACAGGTCAAAGGACAGAGTTCACCATCCTGACGGCCTGAGGAAATAAGTTTAAGTAGCTCGTCACCAAATCGTTTTAATAACATTAAGTTACAGGTTTAAATAGGACATGACATTTTCTAATACGAATAACAAATTAAATAAACTTTCTATAAGTTGTTTATTTTTTTACGCAATTGCACATATAGAATTGAGAACTGAGAAATTATATATCAGGTCAACCAGACCAGGGCCCAGTCAGTTGTTGTTGCCCTAAAGATGTATTTGTGCAAATTCTAATTATACAATGTTTATTAAGTGCTGAGGGAAGTGCAACATGTGGGACAGTTTTTGAATTGAATAAAAACTAGTGATAAAAAAAACTGTTATTCACATGGGAAATGTTTTGTTATTATATTATGTTATTATATTATATATTATATTCATTGTTATTAAAATTGTATCTGAAAACGTAGCCCTCTGAATATTTTTGATAAGTATAAAAAGTAGCTGGCAGAGACAAAGTTTTAGGTTTTTGGAGCAAATATTAACATAGTTTATTAACATTTTTATTTAATATAAATAAAAGTAGGGATTTGTCTTGTTAGCTTTAGAAGATATTCTATACAGAAATCCTGTTTTTTGCGGTACAGTGTATTCCATTTAGTGTGCACCTGATGACAGTCTAATACGGGTGTTCACACTCCTAAAAGAGTTTTGGTTTGTTTTTTGTTCCTGTCCTTGTGTGAGCAGAGATGATTGAACTGGGCCTCGCTGATGGCAGCCTGATCGATGAGCTGATGGAGCTGACGGCTCAGAGCCTCGGCCACCTGGAGATCCAGGAGCACTTCAACATCATCAAGGAGATTGGCAGAGGGAAATACGGCAAAGTGCTGCTGGTCACACATCGCTTCAGGGGTAAGACTGCACTTTCATATCTAATCTCTTACAGCAGAGAAAAATATGTGGTATTGGTATCAATTTCTTTCTACTGTACTGTAATATTGCTGATTAGTTAGTGTAGGGGCACTGAAATGAACAAGCGTTCCAGTCTCTGAAAAGAAATGACTTTCTGAAACTTTCAAGAAAGTGCAAATGTGTTGTACATGACAATAATTCATAGAAGACAAAGTTGCAGCTGGAAGTAAATGAAGAACTGAGGACCTTTACAGAGCAGCCACAGTGAACAGAGAGAGAGAGAGAGGTGAGAAAAGTACTACTTGAAAAAATTAAGATAAGACGACACTCCTCTAATCTGACCTGGAACCTCAGGCGAGCCGTAGGGGAACAGCCAGCCAACACGGAGCGTTGACAGGGTCGGTGTAGACAAAGGACAGAGCAGAATGTAGAGCATGAGGCTGGCTGGCTGGCTGGAGTTCTGCAGGGTTTGAATTTGAAAACCACTGGAGTTTGGGGGGTGTGACCTGGGGGAGAAGGTTATAGAAAAGCCATGCAATGGTATATTAGATAATTATTACAGTATTACTTCAAGTAGCTGCTTAATATCACTGAAGTGATCATAGGTACTTTTAAATCTGCAATTCTTTTGTTAGACAAACAAGGTGTGCATGATCAGTGCTATTAATAGCTAAAGTGAAGTATGGGTGGTCTGCAGGGACGCCCATGGCCTTGAAAGTGATGCCCAAAGCCTCAACTAAGCTGCAGGGCTTTCTGCGAGAGTACTGCATCTCCTTACACCTGTCCTGCCACCCCTGCATCGTGGGCCTCTTTGGCATTGCCTTCCAGTCTAATGAACACTACTGCTTCGCACAGGAGCTTGTCATTGGGAGGGACTTGTTTGCTGTCATCCAGCCAAAGGTGAGTCAAACACTGGCAAAACAAGACCAAGAGACCGAGTCTATGAGGTGGTATTTAGATACAGCGTAGCCCCGTATGTGACCTTCTCAACACAAACGCCATGACGGAAACACAAACTCTATCTTTTTACCTGTTAGCCTGCAGCTGTTTTCATCTTTCAAGGTTGCACAAGTGTTGTACAGTCTGCTCGGGATGAGAGCATCTTCATGGCCCCTTCTCCTCTGTACGAGCTTAACTGTCCAAAAACTATGTTCAAGATCTCGTCCATTTTCAGCAAACACAGCAAATGTTGCCATTTAACAAGCATTTACAGTAGGGGAGAGCGGCGTGAGTTGAGCCAGTTTTTACTTGATGTAGTCATGGCATGACTGTAAATCTCCAACTAAAATATGTAAAATATATTCAGGATGTGGTGCATCTCTGGGAATAATCATTCTGGATCTAAAATAAGTTGAGGCTCATGTGGGTAATTTGTACCATTAACTATGCTAAAGTAAAACTGAAAATTTTCACCTGTTCCATCAAAGTACGATAAATTCAATACCAAATTCTTCAACAGGGCCTCTTTAATATTTTCAGAATAAAACCAAGTTTAAAATGAAGAACAAAATGAACTCCGGTTCTGCTCGCAGAACTGGGGGCTACTACTCAACATCCACCTCGTCAATGCTGCAGGGGAATATGAACCTCTGTTCTCTGTGACTGTGAAGATGGGCTTTCCATCATCAGCACCACTGGCTCAACTTCCCCCAGACCTTTTGGCTCAAATTACCCCACCCCCGCCATTTAAAAAACTTACGTCATCCAGCAGTTTAGAGCCAATGTCAGGCTAACAGTATAACCTCATATTGCAACTTTCTAAAGCACTTACACGTGTGAGATGTTTCTTCACACTTGACTGTATTAGTTCAAACACAAACATGAAGAAAATGACTCTGGACAGCTAAAAATAGTTCTGTGAACTTAAAAGTGCTTAACACTTCTGCCATGTGCTTCTCCTCATCACAGGGTGAGTAAAATCGATGTGTCTCTTCAAAAGTATGTGGTCACATGACCAATTTTGCCTGAAGTTACCTAGAAACAACAGGCTCAAATCAACCCATTAACACCCACCACACCAATCTGTGAAGGAGAGTGTAATGCACCTGCTGACCAGATCAATCAATCACTATATTTGTAGGGCAGTTCGCTATGCAGCAGATGATATATGCATTTAGCACACATTCAAACACAAGACACATAAATACAACACCAAGAAGAAAAGACAAAGTACAATAAGTCGATAAAAACAAAACAGAAACAGTACGTTAGTAAACAATAAGATAAAGCACCTTTTTCTTTTCCTCCTAGAGGAAGATGGCAGAGGGCGACCTTTGATTTGGCTAAAGGGAGTCTGAGGAGGGAACATGATGGCAGAAACAGAAACTGTTGATGAAGAAGTTATGAACAATCAGAGGATGGATTCAATTTTCTTCAGTGCCTCATATTACATTTTACTGTTGGACCTTGAGACATTGAAACCAGCAGATAAAAGAGAACGTGAGAACGTACTCGAAGGAAATTATATTCTGAGACAAAAGAGACGCTGCCGGCTTTTCTGGGACACCATGTTGGTATAAATCTCAAATGTCACGTATATCAGCTCGTACAACAATAGAAGAGAGGAGTGGGTCCATGCAAACCACTACTGTTTCCTGCATAGGATTTGTACGAGAAGCCTGTGATGAAGTCATGGAGCGTACGAAGTGCAGAGGGCACATATGGGGCTAAGAACAGCTGGATGCTAATATGAACATGCTAACATGCTCACAATCTTTCTTTATGCAGTGCTTTGGGATGATGAATGTCCTCACTTTTTGTTCTGGCACCTTAGACAAATGACACAAAATGACCTGTCCTCCATTTTTCATTTGTTCAGGTGGGTATTCCAGAGTCTTCGGTAAAACGCTGTGTCCTCCAGATCGCCAGTGCTTTGGAGTTCATCCACAGCCATGGTCTGGTCCATCGTGACGTCAAGCCTGAGAACATCCTCCTGCTGGACAGTCATTGCTGCCAGGTCAAGCTGGCAGACTTTGGCCTGGCCCAGAAGAGAGGCACCATGATACGATTCATCACAGGAACCCTGCCCTACATGGCCCCAGAGCTTTGTAGCGTGGCCCTGCAGGAGGGTCAGCAAGAAGCGTCTGCCCCTCCACTTAGCGTGGAGCCGAGCCTGGACACCTGGGCTTTTGGAGTGGTTATCTTCTGCATCCTCACGGGCTACTTCCCCTGGGAGCGCTGCATGGACTCAGATGACTTCTACCAGGAGTTTGCTGACTGGTGCAGAATGGAGGAGAGGCCCAACACTGAAGAGGACGTCCCTCCTCTGTGGAAAAGGTTCACCCCAGAAGCCATGGAGATGTTTGGTAAGCTCCTGGATTTGGATGCAGGGAAGAGGTGTACAGTGGGGGAAGTGAGAGCCTATGTGGAGAAGGACTGGCTGAAGAAGGCACCTGAGAGCGAGCAGCAGCAAACCACAGAAAAAGAATAATCTTGGGCATAGTAAGGTGGAGGAACGTCCTAATGCTTAGTGACTTGTAGCCTGTATTACTGCATAATCTATAGCTTCCTTAAGCCTTAGTAGCATTTGAGTCAATAGTTGTGTCCCAATTCAGGCAGGATCTGCATATGAACATGTGGCCTTTCATAGCCGTCCGGCTCACAGAGGGTTTCCGCTCCCATCGCCTAGCAACCTTGACAACAAAACTTGAGGTTTTAAGGCCGTTCATTTTAACAGTTGCACTGTAGCTGAAAACCTTAATACTTACATTTAAAAGTATAATCCTCCTCTCTGTCAGTGTTGTTTGCTGCCATATTATTTTCATTACTGGCGCGCGATGAATCTCGGGGATTGGTTGGAGCCTCTGTTGCCTGGTAAAAGAAGCTGCATCTGAAGGAGCCTTCAAAGTCGGACAGCCATCGGTCTTCACATACTGCCTCCGAAGGACGTGGCCCCTGAGTTGGGACACAGCGTCTATTTTAAAGGCCTTAAAGAGCCTGATATCCAGCATGCATGGTCATGTATACAGTGTCCATATAAAAGATAGTTTAACAGGGATGTGCTGGTAGCCAAATGATTCAGACATAAAAAATGTAAACAATATCCCTGATTCGATTCCAGCTGACAACCTCTGTCACACTCCTCTCTCTCCCCTTGTATCCTCCTCAATAAAGTGTTTGAGAAAGAAAAGGACGTTACAGAAACAAGACGCCACAGATGGTGTTTTTTCACAAATGATTAAGTCTGTGGTGACGGAGAAAGTAGCTTACTAAGTGGTTCTGAACTAATGAATAATTACTTAAAAGTAATTTAAATTATTCAAATGAGTAAATAAAAGAAAAATGTTTTTTGAATTTGAATTTCATGAATGAATATTTCAGTTTCAGCTCCTGCTCTGTTCAGTACATGTGGTGTGAAATTACTACGCTTTAATTATTCGGATGTGGTGCAGGATATGAAGCCATCACATTTTTCATACTGTGATTTTAAAGTTCTGTGTTTAGACATTTTTACAGCGAAGGACGAACTGTTTGTTGTCTGTACTAAGTGTTGTCACTGGGTCAACCATTCTTTAAGTACGTGTACGTTGTTCTTAGAGTTTTAACGGTGGCTTGTTTGCATTTAGATCATTGTCATATACATTATTAACTTTGACATATGGGATTTATTATTTTTGTGTGAATTAGCATGTCCTCTTGTTTCCTTGCAGGTCAACTCAAGTTCACTGAGAGATTTTGCCCTAAACTGCAACAAATCTTACAGTCTGAGATTTGATATAAATGCTGGATGCATGTATATTAATTATAAGCTAAACGTTCCAATTCATGAACTGTCCAAGACAAACTTTTATCGTATTGAAAGCGTCTTTTTATTTTGTTATTGTTTTTGTTTCTTCATTTTTCTTTAGTCAAACTCACGACTATACGACACCTATTTGTGGATTTTAAAAGATCATGTATCACTGTACAGAGCATTGTATGTATGGGCATGCCGTGAAAGCATGTAGAAGGAAAATCAAATAAAGCCTATGCATCCATCCACTCTCTTTTCAGCCACCCTCGCAGGCAGAAAACATATTATCCTCTTCGAAGCCAGCTCCATGACCCGACTCAGATCTCTGGTCCAGCTGGTTCTCCACTGACAGACTTCGTGCTGTTGTCCAGCATGTCAGTCTCTGAGGAGGGCAGACTCCAACTTGGCTCAAAGTCTGAACCTGCTTGCCCCCCCACCCCCACCCCCCCATCATCCTTTACAGCATATTTAGGGCATTACACTAACCAGGGTCATCTTTCCACTGACCCCTGGACTTGACACAATATATTACAGACACTAATACAGCCAAGGCAAATCCAACCGCAAAGCCTGTGTTGGCATTTGACTCACAAACTATCTGTGCTGGTGTTCACACACATAACAGAGCCTGTGTTTAGAAAGATTAAAATAATGTTTTGCATGCCGGTTCTGTGTAATAAGGTGTTAAAGCCAGTATATTAATGTGATTGATTTTTAAGGTTTAGCCTTTCGAAAAAAAATAAAAATAAAACACAATATTTAATTTTTCTAACCTTCAGAACGCAGATTTTTTTTTTTTAAGTTTTGCACAAGCGTGAGAGATTGTGCTTTCCTGTTGAACCTAACAGTGCAAACTCTTAATGTTAGACGAAAGAGATTAGTATAATTTCCAAGAAGTCTAGTCTTATCAGCACATGATTTCCGTTGCACGTCAAATAAAGATGGTTGTGTGCTCTCAGGAGAGGCACTGTGGTCATGGTCTTATCTAAACGGCTGTCACGTTTCTGGAGGACTTCAAGTACACACGAGTAAATCATCACGCACTGTAAAAGATGGATGCACACGTCTTTGTAAACAGGGCCGTTGGTGTCCCAGGCCAGGTATACTTGTTGGAAACGTATATAAATAATTTATTTTTTTTATACCATTTTATTGCTTTTATTAAATAGAACCAGGAGAGACAGACAGGGAGAGACTAGGAGAATTACATGCAGCAAATTGAGTTGAACTGAGGATCAGGTCTCCTTCATGGATTAGTTAAGACCAATACACAATAACATCATAAACACTTCTAGTAGTCTGAATCTTTATCACTTTGCTTGTGTGTTTGGAGTCGTTGTTATTCTGCCCCTCCCTGACAGTACTAATGCATGATGGACAAGAATCGAATCACTTACAGTGTCTAAAGCCTTTGCACATATTCAAATATATACACCTCAGTTTGCCACAAACATGTTACACCCTAACACTCCCTGTGTGCAAACTATGTAGGAAGCTAAGCTACAGTAAAATCACAGTGAGGGATAAACAGAGGTGACAGTAGTATGAAGTAGTATAAATATAAACTTGATCAAACTTGCTGAAGCCAAGTCCAGGATCACTGTGTCTTGTTAGGAGTCACATGAGCAGCCATGGATCCACCACGGCCTCTTTTCTGGATCAGTTTCATAAGTTGTTGTCAGTTATTAAAGTGCTACTTGAACCCATCTACCCGAGCTGTGGGGGCATGTCAGTCAAAAGAAAGTTTGAGAAACACTATCTAGGTCTCTGATCTGCTCATAGCCAAACAATGTAATGATATATATTTTGTTCCTTCTTCATTCAACGTCAGTCAGCTGCTCTGTTATTATCAACAACATGTAGTCCTTAGTGAATGCATTTACATGCACATTAGTCTTTTGCTGGTTTTGATCAGATTTAGGGTATAGTGTTCACATGGAACAAAAGTTATCAGTTTATTTATGTCTGCGCGTATGATTTTCAACATTATCCAGGTTTCTGATGAACTCCTCAACTTTTAATACAATCAGACCGTCACTTGAGGATGTAATTAACATGTTTAATTAATTTAATTCAGTATTTATGCTGCTTTAGTGCTTTCATGAGTCTGATATCTCACACAGTCACAACATGATTTTCTATTTGTCATTTCAGAGGAGATCTTCATAATATGATGTGTTACTGTTATGAACGGACACACACACACACACACACACACACACACGCACACACACAAAGAGAGAAAAGAGAGAGAGAGTTAGCCATGGACAAGATAGCCAAGCCTTCTGGATGGCACCGTACATGCAGGAGCACTATTAATAAAACCACTCTGTGATGGAAAATCACCACAACTGGGGCCTTTCTCTCGGCTGACGGCTCGTCTGTCAGTTACCTCCATAAAAAGTCAGTGTCAGGCAGCTGAAGAAACTTTTCTCAACCATAATCTGCATTTCCACTAATTAGGATCATGAGACCCGCAGCCAGGAGAGGAGACAGGTCAGGATACGTGAAACATAACGTTACTGACATTTGAGCAAAGGTCCCGGAATAGTCTGAAAATATGATTAAAACTAAAACTGCCATTCACATAAGATAAAGCCGTGTCAAAGGATCCTCTATGAAGAAGGAGCTAATATCCTGATTGACTTTATTGTCCCTGATCATCTGTGACACTTTACATAATAATGCTAATTAATAGATTTCAGCAGCTACTATGAGCTGATTTGTCAGTAACACAACACTGGAACTAAAACAGAGCACAATGTTAACAGCAGTGGATTAACTTAAGTACATAAGCGTCAGTAAGTAGATATTGATACTATATTGAGAAAACAAAGGCAAAGATCATGTGAAAGGTAGAATATATGCACACTCAAAAATCCATGCTGGATTTTCTGTGATGCAGGTCTTCATTCAGTATGTAATCATGCTAATTCTTGCTGGTTAGCACTAAACACAAATTACATTTGAAGCTGATGGGAATGTCATTAGTTTTGTAGATATTATATATATTTATTTCTCATATATATAAAAACGTTAAGGCCTCACCCAAGTTATTACAGCTCCTCCTGAGGGAGACATGGTCGACTTTACTAAATTTCATGACAATCCATCCAATAGTTGAAAACTGCAAATGTCAACGTCATGGAGGCGCTAGAGGAACAGTCAGGGGATCACCACAGTAACTAGGATTCATCTTCTGGCACCGCTCATACACAAATGTAATATATCATGTATATGCCCCTATATCAAGAGAGATATATGTCACCTATAAGGAGATTTATTATTGTCACATACATCCTCTGGATATCTGAAGATATACGTTTCTATGAAATGTCCAAAGTAAAAGGCAAGTTTAATTTCTGATAAATTTTCTTATACATTATTTCTTTATCATTCTATCTATATCTCTATAATATCAACATGTATTGACAGGCTTTGGGATGATATAGTATATGTGTGTAACATACGTCTGGAATATAAGCATTCATACATAAACATACGTTTGTATTAGCTAGACATACAGTATGTGTCATTATATGAAATTGACCCAATTTCTAACAGACGCCATATGTAATTTTTTTACATACATCGGCCATATATACATATATGATTTTACTTCATATGTACATATTACATATATGGAAATTACACAATGAAATTTACAAACATTCATAATAATGGTGGTATGAATGAATAAATAAATAAAAGATGAACCTCTATTTCAATGCACAGTCATGATCAGTTTCCTTGATGGAGACATTTATGACGGTTAATGTATTTACATCTTTAGAGTTCTGTGCTTTAACTGTCTTATCTTATGTTTGATACTAGTAGCTTTTAAGGAGAGTATTGACTTAAAATAAAAATAAAAATATATTACATTTTTTACCTAAAAATGTGCAAAAAAGGTGCAGTACCTTTTTTCAGCCATGGGTAGTATCTGTAGGTCCACCTTTCAGGATGTGTAGAGCCCACAACCTCAACAAGCTCATGAGAGGCAAAACCAGGGAAAAAATAAAAGGGCAGAAAAACACTTTTACATTTTATCAAGTTCAATCCTGTGATCCGGATTATGGTGGCAGGACAGTAAGAGAGCAGAATTTCGAGAGGATTTTGCATTGAAATCACCATGAAACTACAAAGCACAAAGAATAGGCTTAACCTTCACCCCCAAAATTCACAGAATTCACAGTACGACACCACTAGCATGGCTAAAAACAATGGTTTCCTTGGGGAAAAGAAACAGTAAACATGATTTAAGGTTAATTAACTCAACAACTACAAATCCAGTATGATCCTTTGGCTGTAGAGAAGTGGCACCTGAGACAGGATGAACGTTAAAACGTCATCTCTTTCCCGCACAGATCACTATGTCTCCTTTGTATCTATTTCAGCTTCACCCCCCCAGCAAGGCCCCCTTACAGCGAGGCTGGGTGTGATGTTTACATATCAGACGAGGGCTGCTGCTTACAAATTAGTCCCTTCGGGTGTATCGCTGGCTCCGTGATCTCACTGGCCCCTTGGCTAACTCCTGACTAAACATGTGAGGCTCTAGCAGATCTGTCAATCTCTTAAAAGCAGCACTAGCATGTCTGTCGGTCCTTTGCGAATGGCCTTACTCATGTTAACATTTGTAGCGGGCAGCTGCTCTCACATGTCTTGACCACAGGGAAATGTTTAAGTGATTATAGAGAATATTAAAGTGCACAGGGATGAAAGGTTTTGAGAAAAAACTGTTTGGAAAAATCAAAACATTAACATAAATAAATGAATAAACAAATTTAAAAGATGTATAAAAACATGATTGCATTGTTAAAGAGAAGACCAGCGGCAAACTTGAGTCACACTACAAACGATGCTTTGTGGAATAAACGGCTTATTGTGCTGTGTATCAAACTATATACGACACATAACATACAGTTTGATACTCAACATCTGAGCCATTTCCAAAACCCGGGAGTCTCGGAGGTTTCATTAGCTGCAAGTAGAGGACAAAACCTAAAAGTCTGAACAACAGAGCAAACAAAAAGTCTTGATAAAGAATTTAATATTGTTCTTGTACAAAACTGCGGTTAACACACAAGGCTATTCATGTTGAACATGTTTATTCTAAAGGTTTCTTTATTACAGTGGTGTCAGTCATGGCTCCAGTGCCAGAAGATACTGCAACTGATTCACTGATTTAACTGTGAACTGTAACATGAAGCAGCAGGAGATACAGCAATTTTTCAAGAATCAGGAAAAACTGAAAGTACATAATACAACAAGAGAAAGAGATCATACAGAAGTTTACCAAACCTTTTTTTCTTTTCCTTCTTTTTATTTTATTTTTTTATTTTTTGACCAGATGAGTAAAATGAAAGGTCCCATAATTTACACTTTAAACAGTGAATTATTTGGAGTATTGGAAATCTCCCTTTCTACAATGTGGGACCTTTTAAAGACTTTACTTGGCAGCTACATTGTGATTACAGTTCTGACCGTTTCTTGTACAAAATGTCTAGTAATGTCAAGTAGCTTATAATTCACTCTGTGAAGGTGGAGCCTTCAAGTCAGGTAGTTTATTTTAGCATTAAGACTGGAAGCAGAGAGAAACAGCTATCCTGGTTCTGTCCAAAAATAACAAAAGCCACCTAGCAGCACCTCTAAAGGTCAGTAATTAACACTATAACTCACTATAACTCTCTATGGTTTGTTGAGCTCTGTTTCCTGTCTTTATGCTAGGCTAAGCTAACCAGCTGCTGGCTGTAGCTTCATATTTACAGACGTGAGAGTGGTATCAAAAAAGCAGAAATATGACAGTGAAATCTCAATTTTATAAATTCTTATTAAACCTCTAAAACTGAAAACATAGAATTTACACATGTACAATACAACAATATGACCTGAGTTTACTGTATCAGCTGATACAAGGAGTATGACTCATGTAACATTAATTTCAGCGTTGCTATCCATGCTATCCAAAAATAATCTCTCATAGTATAGTGCAGAAATACAAGAAGCCTAACTGCCGTGTACACATGATCTGTATGTTGAATCAAGGAATCACACTGAACACATTTTAAAACAAGCTATAAAATCTGCCGTAGGATGAAGGTTTTAAACCAAAAGATAAGATATAACGCTGAAATCACACCTTTGAATTTTGTACATTTGAACAAAAACAAAACGTAAGTGCTCATTTTCCTCACTTGTGATATAGTATGATGGCAGGCACACATTTTGTACATTCAATAATACATGCTTATGTAAAATAAGAGCTAAAGCTAACTTTATCTACACTGGTGAGCAGTTCACAATCAGATTACGATTTCTGACTGAAACATGCTCTTTTTGCTCCTAAACTGTACAATCTGGTCTGATATAAAAATGATCTGTATTCACATTAAAAATGCATAATTCTAATAATAATAATAATAATAATATCTTTTTTTTTTAGTATAGGTTTAGGTTTATAGTATCCATTTCAGTCAGAGTGAAAGGGAGCTGGGTTTTGGGGTGATCCACTTTGCCAGATTGGATTTTATTTCAGCAGGTCTTAAACACAGTTTTGGCTCACCCATCTTGGTTCGGCACTAGGTAGTCCCCATCCTCCTGCACCAATGCTGGAGGTGCCACTGTGTTGCTTTCAGGTGCGGTTACGAGGCTGTCGTGGACTTCAGCTTTAGTTTGTGTGATTTCAGGACTGGCTTCAATGTCGTCATAATTCTCCTGTGGGTCTTCCACCTCATAGGTCACCCCATCTGTTAGCGTGAAAAACAGTTGTATGTTAAATTTGAGTTAGTCTGATTACTGACAATGTGAGAATTTAGTGAGAAGGTATTGCATGATGTGATTGAAACTTTCCATCGCTTTGATTGAGGGTATCTTGCTGGATGTTTTTGTCTCTTGAGGCACCAGCAGTGGTGGCGTGAGAGTGCAGGGGCTCAGCCTCTGCTTCATCAATATCATCGTAAGAAAAGGAGGAAGTGCTCCGTGCGTCGTTCTCTGTGATGAATTCAGCCTCTGATCTGAATCCTGCATGAACAACAGCAACACAACACAAATACTTTCACACTGACTTAAAATGAAATAAAAATGCACTGCATCTCCACAATGAAAACATAAAACCAATAAAATAAACTCAGAACTATTCTTACCATATTCCACTTATTCAAAGTCAGGGCTTATTTTTACTTGGAAGTTAAATTTAAATACTAAAATAAGACTTTATTTATCCACAGCACAAAGACAGACTGAGAGGTAGGAAAAGAGATAGAGAACTGTTGAAATAAATAATTAATTTATATTTGATTTATAATTATAGATTAGAAATTTATAATTATAGAGAGGTGACAAGTAATGTAGATTACATACATTAAAATACATTAGACTATATAAGTGAAGTGTGCAAATATTTATCTAGTATATACTAAAAATATAATAGTATATATAGAAATAGGTGTAAATAATAAGTACAATAAACATAATAATAAAGTACATAATGTTATCTTAATATATGTGCAGTACATGTAATATACACATGCTATACAGTAATAATACAATAATATTAAGTATATATCATAGGAATCAGATAATAATATGATATATGATACTATAATATGTAAAATAAAATATAAACGTACCATATAAAATAAGAGAAATAAAATAAAATAAAATAATTAATGAATATATTTTGAACTCACTGCCACGACCGAACTCTTCCATTTCATTTTCTTTGCTCGGGACGTCCTCATACTCACCACTTTCAAACTCTAAGTCATTTCTTGACAGCATCGTCGCTACATAAAAACAGGATTAGACATTTACTGCGAGATGAAAAACAACTGTCTCATACTGATGCAGTAGGGAACAGCACGGAAAAACAGATGGAGCACAACACATGCACATATTACAAAGCTTTTAAAGATTTATACTCCAATTCTACTTGTATCTGCTTTGAAGTAAGCATTGGTGGGCAGAACTGATGAACTTCTATTTAAATCTAAATTTATATATATACTGTATATATATATATATATATATATATATGTATTATGTTATGTAACTAACACTTGTAAGTCACTTCAGATAAAAGCGTCTGCCAGTTCAGTAAATGTAAATGTAAGCAGAGACATTGTAGAGGATGATATGCAGCAAATTAACCTGGGACTTAACCTTGACATGTGGTATGGACTCTACCAGGTGAGTTGAGATATAAATGCTGATAATAATAATTAAAAAAAAAAAGAAAAAAGCATATGTGATACCATAATTTTTAGTGGTCACATGGAGCATAGAGAAATCAGAATGAAGTCTGCATGCAGAAAGACTGGCCTCGTGTGGCCAGATGGCTCACTGCATTTCATTGCACTGGGATGATCAGGATCATTGATTGATTGATTTTGTTTTCAGTCGAGCTCTAATTGAATGGTATGCCTTTTACCAACCAGTATGTAACTGCAAGTGCAGCAATAACAACCGGCAGAGGATGGGTGCAATAGAATAAGATACTCACGCCGGATGTTCTTGTCATTCTTGTACTTCTTGACGATGCAAATTCGCACAAATACAATAATCAGTATCAACAGAACCAAAGACAATACTACTCCCACGATAATGGGCACTTTGTTGGTTGGGGGGGGCTCAGTCGGTGGGGCTGGCGTTGAGTAACCTGAAATCAAACACAAAGTGGGACTGTTAATTAATTTTGTCTCTCTGACCCATGTTAATCAAAGCAGCGGTTGGTTTTAGATAAAATTAGTTCAAATTTACAGAATACAAAAAGATGATTCCTATGCAAAGCAACTGAATGAATATTTCTGGGAAGCAGCACGACTCATTGGGAAAGGATTCATGGTTCAGTTACCTGTACAGTAGATCTGAGCTGGTCTGTCCGTACAAGTCCGTGAGACGACACAGTGCTTGATGTCCATGTGATTGGATGTGCAATTCAGTCCCAAATTCAAGCGCTTGATCAAATTTAAGCAGATAAAAACAAGGATTGAATGACTTATAAAGAGAACACAAGGCAAAAACAGAAAAGCTTATGAGACTGAGGGTGACTTTGCCAAAACAAGACAAAAAAGTGAAATACAAATATTTACCTCATTCTTGTTCTTAATTCTTCGTATTTGGTCTATGTAACCACCACATCCAAGCTTATTACATAGCTTGTCCAAAAAAACTGGGCGAAGATTGCCCAGCGGACAAATTTTTTCCCAGCTATTTCCATCGAAGACTCGAATTTCACCTCCACATTTTTCTGTGGTGTTGAACTCGACATTTGCTGTAAAGAAAAAAAATCCAAAAATAAATGAATGAATAAAATTAATAATTCATCTTTGTTGATGAGAATCAGATGAGAATATCCATAACACCCTCACATATGTCTGCTGAATATGAAGATGAAGCTAGCTTAGCATAAACACAGGGATTAGGGGGAAACAATTAAAGGTCCAAGGTATCAAAATCAAAGAGTAAAAATGACAAATTACAGTTTTAACCTTTGTTTTTCCCATTGAATAAACATACAAGATAAAAGATGTTTATTTGTAAGCTATGGAGGTGCCTTATTTTCTAACTTTGGACACAGCTTGCTAGGCTACCTGTCTTTATGCTAAGCTAGGGTAATTGTCTCCTGGCCAAAAATGACATTCAATTGTATCAAAGCAAAGAGTTTGTGTTCCTATTTCTTTAATACCCATTAAACAGGAAATTCATAAACTCTTGAGCTGCTGTCATTTACAAAGACAGAAAATTAAAAATGTACTCACAAAATATTGTAAGCATCAACAGAAGAAGGGAATTGTTTTAAATTAAATGAGTAATCATGTGAATTTTTTATGTTCTGATAAAATATAATGAATAAAAATGACTGGCTCAAAGCAGATATTTAATGCTTAAAACATGCTAAAAGTGCTAAAACTTGGTGAACTGACTTTAGCTCCTTTGTGACACATTATTTTCCATTTGAAATAATATAATGACATTTGTTCAGACAAGGCGACAGGAGAGTTAGATGGAAACTCTGCATCTTTGATGGTACAGTAAGCACATACACACACTTACCAATACAGGCAACAGACACCACTTGTCCATCGCACTTTCCCTTGACTGTCATGCACTGGCTAAGTCTGTGGTGGTTGGAACTGCAGCGGACATGGTTGTACTGAGTATTTGGCTTAGGATTGGTGAAGATCCCCTTTCTTAAAATAGCGTTGCTACAGTCCTTTTCTTGGCAAATCATGTGTGAATAGTCTTCAGTCCAGCTACTGCTGCACACTTCCAATTTATTAATTCTCACTACACCTAGACAATTTTGTGACAGGGTGACCACGGACTCTAGGAAAGAAAGAAATAAAAGATCAAATATTAAAAGAGCAGTAAATATGACTAAATAAATGACTAAATATGACACAGTATACCGAGTTCATGACCGAGTTACATTAACACTGAATGGTGAACACTCTGTGAGTGTATATCAGCAGCTATTAAAATGTGACTAACAGCATTTGTTAACAGCGAAAAATTGAGGAGTGACACAATATGTGTCTCTGGGGGAGAAAGAATTTTACATATTAATCCTCATTAGCAAAGTCATTGTGACGCTGACCCTTTGTCTGTACTTTGAAATACAGAAAATCCCGAGGAGTAAACATGCCACACCACGCAAAGGCACACAACTGCTCACAGAGGAAGAGAGCGCACTTCATGCGAAAACCTGTACAAACTACACATTCTACTCATGCTTTGGTCTATTTTGAAGTAATTATACAGTTTTTTCTTATTCCAGCTAAGAAAATTCCACTTTGCAATATCAGCAATGAAGAAGAAAAAGAACTATTCCAGCATAAATCGTAATTAATTTTAGTCAAGTCAACTGCTCATAGAACTCCTCTAGTACATTAACTTATACTTGTTTATTAGACATAGCCTATACCAGCTAGCTGCTCCAAGCTCGGGATCAGCTAAGATCTACTATATGCAGTAATCTGTAATTTGAAAGAAATACATTGGGATTTTAGGGAATACTTTGAACTGTCCTCACAAGAGTTAGACAGCAAAATCGACACCACTTGCATGTCGGTACACTAAAGTACAGGTTAGCTTAGCCTAGCCTGATGAACGTTTGAAGCAGGTGGAAAGAGCAGCACACTGATCTGAATCTACTGCAGGTAATACACTGACAAGTACATGACTGGATAAGTACCTCTCACAACTCCACGTCAAATAACCCGAACTATCACTTCAATGGACCAACAGGACAGAGGTATCTTCTCCTCTAACTCTTCCTTTAATGGCCAACAAAAACGATTGTGAAGTAGGTTATTTACTGTATTTGTGAAAATAGTATTTTTTTGCACACTGTTGGTGGCATGTCTCACTTTCAAGAGGTTTCCGATGCAACTGCAGAGGTTCTATAATCACAGAAATCCTGCAAAAATAACATTTACCTTCACAGTTAATAAAGAGCTGTTTCTTCTCGCGTGAGTCTAGGGTTTCATTATTTTCACACTCCCAGATGTTTTCTGGTTTCGGTACATCTGGACAATTGAAGCTTCTGTTCCAAAAATCCTTATTGTTACTGTCGACGTCAATTTTCGACTTGTAGCTGCCACAGTTCAGATCGTCGCAAAGGCTATTCCCTTCAATGGGTGTCCAGCCTTCAGAGGACACGGCATGATGTTTTCCATTGGAGAGAACAGACACAGGTCCACGACAGGTACCGCTGACCCACATCTTTCTCCAGCCTAAGATAAACAGCAGGAACAAGTGAGACGAGATCCAAGAAATGCAAAACTCACAAAACCTGATGGTGTTAGCAGAAACTCATGTCTTGTCATGTTGGGCAAATAAAATTACCTTAAGGTTTTCACTAATGTTAAAGGCATCAGTGGAACTGATTTGATTTCTTGCTGAGAGTTAGATAAGAAAATCAATAACACTTTCATATCTTTACATCATGAAGCTGCACTTTGTTTTTAACCGGATTAATCAAGGCAGACCTTTTCCCACTGCATCCCACCGTGGTAGCTTCATATCTGTCTTACTGTTATGGAGGTGGTATCAATCTTCTCATCTAACTCTCATCAAGAAAGTGAAAAAAGATATTTTATTAACAGACTATGTCTTTATAGGAAGGTCTCAGATGCAAGAGGAAAAACTGAAGCTGAAAATTGCCTATAACCCTTACATGTTATTTCTTTATCAAAATCTTGTCTTGTCCCTTTTTGTTTCTTTGCGTAATCCTTTAATTTCAAGACAACATGCTAGATGCTAGAGTGGGGACAGAATAAATGGATAATGAAGAAGAGAGAAGATCATTACACGCACCGGTGCAGTTGAGGCCAACAGGCTTGCAGGAATTGTCTTGATCTGAAGTGATACTACATTCTGATAATGACTTTGCACCATTACACTGTAGTTGTGAAATCACATTACTCTCTGTTGGTTTGGGTCCAAAGTGGGGAATCTTATCGACAGCCCGACCACATCCCAGCTGCTCACAGATGGTGTGTCGTACATCTTCTTTTTCAAGAGCGCTCTCGCACACCGGGAGCCACTTGCCTTCATAAAAAACCTCCACATTTCCCACACATTTGTCCCTGGTAGAACTAAATCTGGGCTTGACACTACCTGCAACAAAACAATGAAAGATACAAAGTTAGAATCTCGTAGATCACCAAAAACTTATTTAGACTACTGATTAGTGATTACACTATTATCATATTATTTTGTACTGTTTTTTATATTCTTATATATTGTATGTTCTTCTTCTTCATGTCTGTCAATTATGTCCTAGGTATCCTTCGTGTCACTGTTGTTTTTGTTGTGTTATCTCACCAATAAAGGAAAATTAAAAGAGAGAGAGCGAGAGAGAGAAAGATGTTCTTGTTCCAGTTGACCAAATGGATAATCGTAACACTCTAATTGTTATGAACACGCAAAATTTGAACCTTTTTAACATTGAACATTTCTCAACATACAGATCCTTTAAAATCAATCCATTACCTGAACAAATGACATAGGCTGGGTTTCGGTTGCAGGTGTTATCCTTGTCATCATTCAGTACGAAGTTGCTCTGGGTCAGGTCAGTAACCAGATTTGTAGTGTGCAAACTCTTGACGAGCACCTCTTTATTTTCAGCCTGGTTGATGGCCTTTAGGACTTTGTCCCCACAGCCATGGCTTTTACACAGCATCTCAGAATACTCCTGTTTCCAGGAGTCGCCACACACACCTCCGCTCCTCCCACTCATATTGGCGATGACATGTCCCCAACACGTCTTTGTCAGGCTCAGTGTGATTGTTCCTGTTGAGGCAACCAAACAAGCAAATAGCAAAAGGGATGAGGAAGTTGTTTGCTGACCCACATCAGTAGATTATTTCACAACTAAAGCATTCTTCAGACCAGTTTAAGGTAAGTATATATATATATATATATATATATATATATATATGGCATAAGTCCTTATGTGCTTATATCAAAAGTGATGTTACTGATTAGGCGATATATTATTATCACATATACACATCCTCTGCACATGTTAAGATGTAAGTTTATAACATAAATTAAAAATACAAAAAAGTGAAATTTGTATATGTACAAATATTAAAAATATCTAGATGATGGATTTAGTCTAGTTTATAAAAGTTTGTTAAAACAACATAGGCCTACATTAAAATCTAAATTACATTTAAAATACATTTTATTATGTTTTTCTTATTAATGTTAAACATATGAGTCTATCTTTAATATTTATAGCATCACCATATATTGACAGGCTTTGGGATGGATATGTAACACATGTCTACGTGCATAAATTTCTATGAGTTTCATGTAAAATTTTATCATGTGCACGTACTTTATATGTTTTTACTTAATATATGTACATATATTTCATTTGTGTATGGGTTAATTGTGGTATCCCAGCAGCTGCTGGTGCAGCTATGACCATTAAGGTGAGTTTGTGTAGTGGAGTGTATATTACATCATTTCTCCAAACTGGATCACAGGACAACCAGTGACGGAATAAATGAATATCATGATCATCAGTTTATATGTTTCAACGCCACCTCACATTACCTGTACAGGTCACTTTTGCAATGGTCTCATTGTGGTCTGATGACGGTGTCTTCGTTTCACATTCAAACAGAGATTTGGCGTTGGATGAGCACTTGTAAGATTTATCCCAAAATTTTGCCTGCATATCAGTAGAAGGGACGGGGGTAAAGATGGATGCAGTCCCACAGTTCATCTGCTGACACACTATGTTTGCAGATTCTTGGTTCCATGTCTTGTTCGAGCCAGAGAGCCAGTAGGCGTTACTGTCGTGCCGTATCCCCACCCTGCCAGAACAGGGAATGGACTCATCTCCGCTCAGAAATACCACCTTGTGCTCTGACAGGGACATAAAAAAGAGAGATATACAGTATTAGGACTGTGATAGACTAGCAGCATGTCTTGTCTTCACAATGCATGTTGGGATAGGCTCGAAGTTTGTTGATATTGTTTAGTTTCAGAGGATTTATGGCCGTCAGCCGTGTTGCACCTCAGCTGTGAAACTCACTTTCACAAGACATCCATATTGACTCTCTTCAAATCCCTTTTCAAACTTGCTTATTCTGTTTAACTCCAACACTTGAGTTCAATGCAATTATATTTTATTCTATTCTGTTTTGTTATGCCTTGTACATAAAGGTAAATAAAATGTATTATTATTATTAGTAGTAGTAGTAGTATTGTTGTTGTTGTTGTTGTTGTTGTTGTTGTTGTTATTAATATTATTGTTAATGATTTTGCAAAGGGTGTAACTGTGTACCGGAAACCAGACAAAAACATAAATAAATAAAAACAAATAAAGCGATGATGAATGTTTGATACCACTAACACTACTTTAGATTCAACAGAGTAAAATTTATCCATAATAACAGTATTAGACTGTGACTCCCTTAAACCATGTTAATATTAAAGCTGCACTCAATATTTTATTATATGAACAATGGACCAAATGACTATAAGGATTGTGAACGGCGTCACTTGAAGTGGCAAACCCACAGAGAATTATCGCCTGATTTTAATAAATGTGCTAATTTTTTAAAACAGCTCTAAAAGCATGTTTGTACTTTGTCATTATGGTTCAATGACTGTAGATTGATGGGTGTGAAAAAGTGCGGGAAAAAAGTAAATTAATCTGAAAATGTTCTGAACGTGGTGAACGTGGTGAACGTGGTGAACGTGGTGAACGTGGTGAACGTGGTGACGCCCTGAGCAGCTAACGAGACAGATATTTAAAGAGCTGAAAGGAGACTAGACATTTGCTCTGTGTCTGCTGGACGAGTCACTTGTAACAGTTTGACACATACAACACAACAAATTCATAAGGTGATAATATGTTTGTAGTTGCAGCTTGTTCTGTTGCCCCCAAGTGGCCAAAAATCAAAAATAAAATAAAATAGAAAAATTAAATTCTTACTGAATAGGAAATTGAGTAAAATTTCACATAATAACAGTGTTGTATTTAGATATTTGTTGTTGCATTAAAAAGGCTGTGACTTTTTTGTGACACTTTCCATTTGAATTTTAAAGACTTCACTTGAGTGCATTCATACACAACTCTCTGCTGTTACTGACGATATGGAATTGGCGGATGACAATGACACACAATAAGAGAAGGTCTAAGGGCAAAACAGACTAACAAACCAGAAACAAACTCACCCTCACAGGTTATTCCCACGTTCTCCCTCTGACCGGGGGCGGTCTTTGACTCTGAATTTGTCAAACAGTCAGATATGGTTGAGGCACCTGGCTTGCATTTCACAGTATTAGCGAGGAAATTATCTGGACCCTTGATGAATGTTTCAGGTTTGCTTTTATTGCCACAGCCAAGTTGTCTGCAGACAACATCTGATTTGTCATCCCATTCATTTTTAGAAACTTGTCTCCATTCGCCCTCATACTGGATCTCCACTCTCCCAGCACATCTTCCAGGACCGTCCTTCAATCTCACGCTTATACTATCTGTACCATGACAACAACAGAACTGTCAAACATGCACACACATACAAAATAATAATAGTAATGATGAAAAATATCTTACTACATGCATTTGTGCAGAAATTCTACATACACTGCAACAGAATCACATTTTTTAATTCCACCATAATGTCAAAATAATAATGTTTTTCTTGATATGAATCAATGAAATGGGAAATTCTCTATCTCTCCAATATCTAAAAAGCCAAAATTGTCATTCAGATATCAGGAAGAGACTATCACTCTATGATCACTGCCATATCTCACCTGCACAGATGACAGAAGCCTTTTCTGAACACATGACAGCGCTGCTGTTACGCCTGGCCCGACAGTGCCACAGTGAGGACTCACTGCCTAAGCAATTCACATTGGTCATTGCCCCTCGTTCATTAGTCTTCTGATCTTTACTATGTTTAATCACCTAGAAGAAAGCATGTATACTCTGAGTGAATCATACCATTCATTTTTACCAGACAGAAAACTCTGAGTGATACAGTAAGTTACACGACACTAACATAATACTCATACTAATACTAATAATAGCTTCTTAAGGGAAGCTGGGGGATTTCTTTTCATATCTAGACAGAGGAAGTTCTCCCTGTTTTTGGTCCTTATGCTAAGCTAAACTGCTTCAACAAGAATGTGAACGTGCGTATTTCACAAAGTCCCAAACTATTCCCTTAGACATTTAAAGTGAAAAAAGTCAAGAAAGATAAAAGTCTTATAAATGAAAAAATGGATTGATAAACACAGCATACTTGCAGCTTCCCACCTTCTATGTGAAGAAATAAGGGGAGACTCTTTTCTACTTGTGCTACTGATATTCTTGCATTTAGCATTATCCCGTAATTGTAACAAGCAGCAACAGTGGCTGCTCCTCATAAAGTTGCACAGGCTCACATTAAATAAAACCTTATTTCAATGCTGATACTGGAAGCTGACACTGAAAACTCACTTTCCCACAGTTTAGCTCCTTGCAGACCACTTCAGCTTCCTTCATGGTCCAGGTAGAGCCACACACAGGGAGACGCTCACCATTCACGTCAATATGAACCGCACCATAGCACTTGCTGGGATTCTTACCATCCATCAGTACAACCTTAACTTTGTCTGTGGAGAGCAGAAAGAGGAAAGTGATTTTGATGTCATGATTTAAATTTTCAAGGGGCTCAAGAAGGTGAACAAAACTGGTTTTATGTGGTTTGAAAGTTTCTCTCCTTTGATTTATATATTTTCATTTGAAAAAATAATATATATATGAAAAGTTGTCAAAACACAAAAACAAAGTGGTTGCTTTGAGCTCGTTTGTGGAAATGAGGTGGTTGAATATTAATTAGTTGAATTACCTAAGCATGTCAGCTGTGTGCCATTGGCATCCAGGCTGGAAAAGGCTGCACCACAGTGCAGCTGCCGGCACCACTGATCATCAGTGCTTCCATTGTATTTAACTGGATTCCACTTGCCGTTTTTCTCTTTCTCCAGCCGCCCAGAACAGACATTTGATGCGTTTCCTCTGAGCTGCAGCCTGTTATAACCTGTTCAAATCAAACAACTTCTTCATTCACTGATACGTTGCAACATATCATACTAAATGTGTTTGAGTGTGTGTTTGTGTGTTACCATTGCATACGACAGAAACAGGGTTTTCGCACTTAGAATTGGATTCCTTGGTGATGCACTGCCACAGATTATCTAGGGGTGAGATGTCTGAACAGTTGATCTTCTTCTTAGCGTTTGAGTTGAATCCGTCCCAAATCATCCAGTCGTGCATTTGCAGCTCCTTGGATTTACCGCACCCCTGGCTTTTACACAGAAAATCTGCTTCCTCTTTTTCTTTATGTGAGAGGAAACATACACATGATGGTAAATAATCATTATCAGAGTGGTAAACACTTCACAACACTGATACCAGTAGTATTTCCAAGACTGACAGAAGTTGTAGAAGAAGAACAAACAAACAAATGCATTTAAAGTCATTACAAAATCAAAAGAAAACAGTTAAGTAGCTTTGAAGTACGGAAGGAAATTTGAATGTTGTAGGCCCCTGATCATTTAGTAAGGAATAAGATGAATATACAATTAAAATATTAATATTCATAATATTCTGGAAAAGCACCAAAGAAGAGACAGAGGGACGATACTTCAGTCCTGTGGGTTTCATGAGAAAATGCTGTGGATCTGTTTTGTTGTTTTGTGATTTGACGTATTATATTTATAATATATATAATTAGTAAAAAGTACATTTAATCAAGCATTGTACTTAAGCACAATTGAGAGGTTCATGTTCTCTCCTGGAGTGTTTCCACTTAAAGCTACTTCATACTTATACTCCACGACGTTTCTACTTAAACTCTAGTTGCAAAGTATTTTTCAGATTAAGATTTTACATTGAAATAAAAAAACACTGATAACTTTATAAAATACATTTTAACATATTGGTAAAGATTAAATCTGGTTCTTAACCTTCTTGGTTTGTAGCACTTTGAAAAAAACAAAAGCTGGGGTTATGTTCAGTTGAGTTGTTGCAGTTTCACCAAACACTGATTTCACCACTAAATTTCCCGAAATTTCAGTGAGGTAAAATGATCCAACAGTCAACAAAAAAAAAGCAAAGACTACAGCGAAGTTCAAAACATGAAAATGAATCGTCTCTCAGATTTATCATGTGACCCTTTGGAGGGAACGACAGGATTAAAGTGCCAAACTGTACAGTACATAAAAGAAGCTAAATCTCTGCACCTCCACCTTGACCAGCTACAACAGTAAAAAGCTATTTAGACATTAAAGAATCAGTATTAACAAAAATAAAACATACAATACATCGTTAACAGTCTCGTTTTACCAAGTTTGCTTTGGAGATTTTAAGAACGTTTTGCAGCTTAATAAGAATTCTGAGTTCAGGACTTTTACTTGTAATGGAGTATTTTTACACGGTTGTACTGCACAGCCGAGACACTGGTAGCGTTTACAAAGGCTGACTGCTGTTGAAGTGTAGTGCACACACACATGATGTTAACTCTTACCCCATTTGTCAGCACATAAGTATCCTGACCATTGTTGCCCTCCATCTGTGGAGTACTGCACAGCTCCGGCACATTTATATCCATCCAGTCTTATGTCGATTTTATCTAGAAGAGCAAGAATGAAAAATCAACAGCCATCATCATCATCATCATCATCATCATCATCATCATCATATTTTAAAGAGAGAGATCGAGGAGTAGACATGCCACAACCACGCAAAGGCACACAACTGCTCACAGAGGAAAGAGCGCACTAAGTCATGCGAAACCTGTACAAAACTACACATTCTACTCATGCTTTGGGTCTATTTTGAAGTAATTATACAGTTTTTCTATTGCCAGCTAAGAAAATTCCACTTGGCATATCAGCAAGTGAAAGAAGAGAAAAGAACTATCCAGCATACATTTCGTTAATTAATTTTATGCAAGTCAACTGCTCATTGAGAACTCGCTCTGTAACATTAACTTATATTGTTTATTAGACATCAGCCTATTACCACTACTGCTCATATGCCGAGAATGAGCTAGTATCTAACTATATAATGCAGTAATTGATCTGTAATTGAAAGAAATACATTGGGATTTTAGGGAATACTTTGAACTGTCTCTCCACAAGAGATTAGACAGCAAAATCGCGACACAACTTGCATGTCGTACACTAAAGTTACAGTTAGCTTAGCCTAGGCCTGATGTGAACGGGTTTTGGAAGCAGGTGGAAAGAGGCAGCACCTCTGATCTGAATCTACTGCAGTATAGCATATCTGACAAGTAATGACTGGATAAGTACCTCTCACAAGCTCCACGTCTAAATAAGCCTCGACTATCACTTCAAATTGGACCAACAGGACAGAGTATCTTCTCCTCTAACTCTTTCTTTAATGGCCAATCCAAGAACGATTGTAAGTAGGTTATTTACGTGTATCTGTGAAAATATGTATTTTTTGCATCCTGGTTGGGTGGCATGTCTCAGCTTTCAACGAGGTTTCCGTTGCAACCTGCAGAGGTTCTATAATCACAGAAATCCTGGAAAAATAACATTTACCTTCAGCAGTTAATGATAAGAGCTGTTCTTTTCTCTGCCTCGGCGTGAGTCTAGGGTTCATTATTTTCAACACTCCCAGATGTTTTCTGGTTTTCGGTACAATCTGGACAAGTTGAAGCTTCTGTCCAAAAATCCTTATTGTTACTGTCGACGTCAATTTTCGACTTGTAGCCTGCCACATAGTTCTCAGAATCGTGCGGCAAAGGCATTTCCCTTCAATGGGTGTCCAGCCTTTCAGTAGGGAAACGGGCATGCATGTTTTCCATGTGGAGAGGAACAGACACAGTCCACGACAGGTACCTGCTGACCCACAATCTTCTCCAGCGCTAAGATAAACAGCAGGAACCAAGTGAGACGAATCTCAATGAAATGCAAACTCACAAAACCTGAATGGTGTAGCGAAACTCATGGTCTTGTCATGTGGGCAAATAAAATTACGCTTAAGGTTTTCACTAATGTAAAGGCATCAGTGGAGGCCGAACTGAGTGTTGATTTCTTGGCTGAGATGTTAGAATAGAGATCGAAGATTCAATGATATAGTGTTAGAAGCGGATGGAGACTTTTTTAGTCGTTGTTATTTCGCTCGAATCTTTTCCGATATCTTTTACATTTCATGAACGGCTGCATTTCTTTGTTTTTACCGATTAGATCAGGCAGACCGTTTTTCCGGGCTGACTGACCCACGCGTGGTAGCTTCATGATCTGTCTTACTGTTAGGAGGTGATATCCAATTCTTTTCATCTAAGCTACTTCATCAAGAAAGTGAAAAAAAGATATTTTATTAACAGAACTATTCTTTATAGGAAGGTCTGAATGCGAAGAGAAAAACTGAAGTGATAAATTGTCCTATAGCCTTACATGTTATTTCTTTATCAGAATGCGTTTGTCTTGTCCTTTTTGTTTTGTTGCGTAATCCTTTAATTTTCAAGAGCAACCATGCTAGATTGCTAGAGTGGGACACGAAGTAAAATGGTATAATGTAAGAAGGAGAGAAGATCATTACAACGGCACCGGTTGGTAGTTGAGCTACGAACAGGCTGCAGTGAGATTAGAATGTAGTGGATCTTGAAAGTGGATACTAACATTCTGATATGCACTGTTGCAATATTACTCACTGACGTTTGTGACCAATCACAGTATTCTCTCTGATTGTTAGTTGGGTCCACCACAGTGGGGAAACGTGTAGTCGACAGCTCTCGACTCACATCCCACTGCTCACAGATTGTGTCGTACATCTTTCTTTGTTTCAGAGGCGCTCTCTGCCACACCGGGAGCCACTTTGCCTTCATAAAAAACCTCGCACATTTCCGCACCACATTGTTGTCCCTGTAACAGAAAAAGGAAACTATAATCTGGGCTTGACCTACCGTGCAACAACAATTGATATAGATACATAAGTTAGAATCTAGTAGTCACCTAAAAACTTATTTAGACTACTGATTAGTGATTACACTATTACATATTATTTCGTACTAGTTTTTTATATCATTATTAGTTGTATGTTCTTGCTTCTTCATGTCTGCTTCAATTATGTCCTAGGTATCCTCGTTGTCACTATTGTTTTGTTTGTGTTATCTCACCAATAAAGGAAAATTAAAATAAAGGAGAGAGCTGAGAGAGAAAGATGTTTTCTTGTTCCATTGACCAAAATGGGATAATTCGTAACACTCTAATTTGTTATGCTGTACACGCAAAATTTGAGACCTTTTTAACATTATCATTTCTCAAACATAGCAGATTCCTTTAAATCAATCCATTACCACATGAACAAATGAATTAGGCTGGGTTTCCGTTGCAGGTGTTATCCTTGGTTCATCATTCAGTACGAAGTTGCTCTGGGTCAGGTCATGGTAACGCAGATTTGTAGGTGGTGCAAACTCTTGACGGCACTCCTTTATTTTTCAGCCTGGTTGATGCTCTTTAGGACTTTGTCCCACAGCCATGGCTTTATACACAGCATCTCAAAATCTCCTGTTTCCAGTGAGTCCGCCAACACACACGCTCCGCTCCCCCACTCATATTTGGCGATGACATGTCCCCAACACGTCGTTTTGTCAGGTCTCATTGTGATTGTTCTGTTTGAGGCAACCAAACAAGCAATAGCAAAAGGGGATGAGAAGTTGTTTGCTGACCCACATCAGTAGATTAGTTTCACAACTAAAGCATTCTTCAGACAAGTTTAAGGTAGTAAAGTATCTATATACTATATATATACCTAGTATATATATTTATTATATAATAATATGGGCATAAGTCCTTAATTGTTGCGTTATAATCAAAAGTGATGTTTACTGATTTAGCCGATATATATTATTATCACATATACAGCATCCGTCTGCACACATTTAAAGTGTAGAGTTTATAACAATAAATTAAAAATACAAAAAAACGTGAAATTTGTTATATGTACAAATTTAAAAATATCTAGATGAATGATTTAGTCTAGTTTATAAAAGTTTGTAAAACAACAATATAGGCCTATCATTAAAATCTAAATTACATTGTAAAATACTTTTTATATTATGTTTTTTCTTAATTAATGTTAAACATATGAGATTCTTCTTTAATTTTATATGCAACTCATGATATTGACAGGTCTTTGGGATGGATATGTAAGCACAGTGTCTAACGTGCCATAAAATTATCTGATGAAGTTTCATTGTAAAATTTTATCATGTGCACGCTACTTTTTAATGTTTTAACTTAATATATGTACATTAATTATTCATAATTTGTGTATGGGTTAATTGTGGTATTCCCAGCAGGGCCTGCTGGTGCAGCTAATGACCATTAAGGTGAGTTTTGTAGTGGAGTGTTATATTACATCATTTCCCAAACTGGATCACAGGAAACCAGTGACGGAATAAATGAATATCATGATCATGCAGTTTATATGTTTCAAGCCACCATCTGACAATTTACCTGTACAGGCTCACTTTGTGTGTGTCAGTATGGTCTCATTGTGGTCTGATGACGGTGGTCTTCCGTTTCAAACTCAAACAAAGATTTGGCGTTGGATGAAGCAACTTGTAAGATTTATTCCCAAAATTTTGCCTGCGATATCAGTGAAGGGAACGGGGTAAAGAATGGTATGCAGTCCCACAGTTGCAGTTCTGCTTGACACACTATGTTTGAGATTTCTTGGTTTCCATGTCTTGTTCGAGCCAGAAGAGCCAGTATAGGCGTTTACTGTCCTGTGCCTGGTATCCCCACTCCTGGCAGAAACAGGGAATGGACTCAGTCTCCGCTTTCGAGAAATACCAACTTTGGCTTGTCGCCGAGTCAGGATTTTGCAGGCCGACAATAAAAAAGGAGAGATATACAGTATTAGGACTGGTGATAGACAGCAGCAATGTCTTTGTACTTCAACAATGCATGTGTGGATTAGGTCGAAGTTTGTTGATATTGTTTAGTTTTTCAGAGGAATTTTATGGCCGTCAAGCCGTCGTTGCACTCTCAGCTGTGAAACTCACTTTCACAAAGACATCCATATTGACTTCTTCAAATCCCCCTTTTCAAACTTGCTTATTCTGTTTTACACTCCAACACTGAGTTCAATGCATATTATAATTTTATTCTATTCTGTTTTTGTTTATGCTTGTTACATAATAGGTAAATTAAAATGTATTATATTTTAGTTAGTAGTGTAGTAGTATTGTTGTTGTGTTGTTGTTGTTTGTTGTTGTGTCTGTATTAATATTATGTTTATGATTTTTGCAAAGGGTGTCACTGTTGTACCGGCAACCACAAAGACACTAAATACAATAAAAATCAAATTAAAGCGATGATGAAGTGTTTGATACCACTTAACACTACTTTTAGAATTCAACATAGTAAGTTAAAAATTTATCCATAATAACAGTATGACTGTGGGACTCCCTTTAAACCAATTTTAATTTAAAGCATTGCACTCAATATTTTTATTAATATGAACAATGGACCCCCAATGACTTATAAGGATGTGAACGGCGTCACTTTGAAGTGGCAAATCCCAAGAGAATTATGCGCCTTGATTTTAATTAATGTGGCTAATTTTTAAAAGCAGCTCTAAATCATGTGTTTT